GTAGTTCAGACTCTTATTTCTGGATACTGGTTTCATTGAACTCATATGGTATTAAATGCCACACTGGAGTAATGCGTATGAGTGAAAATTCGAAGTCTAGTAAAGGGCTAATCTTTTGTCCTAGTTGTGTTTTAGTTTTTTGTTGAACATTGTTTGAAAGCTTCATTTGTATTTAGTTTCCGGTGGAACATCCAGAAAAGTATTTGAAGTTCGGCATGCAACCATCGCGAGGTGTGCTGTTTTACGGTCCTCCGGGTTGTGGCAAGACGCTGCTTGCCAAGGCTATTGCCAGAGAATGCCAGGCAAATTTTATCAGCATCAAGGGACCCGAGTTGTTAACGATGTGGTTTGGCGAGTCAGAGGCGAACGTCAGGGATGTTTTTGATAAGGCCAGTGGCATAATGTAGTCCCATTAAGTCTGTATTACGGTATTGTTGTGTTTTAGGCTCGCGCCGCTGCACCGTGCGTCCTGTTCTTCGATGAACTGGATTCGATAGCAAAATCTCGCGGTGGCAGTCTCGGCGATGCTGGTTTTTGCTCACTTCTTTTACCGCTTGGCCATGTTTATGCTGTTGTTTCTAGGTGGCGCTGCCGATCGGGTCATCAACCAGATCTTGACGGAAATGGACGGAATGACATCAAAGAAGAACGTATTCATCATCGGTGCAACTAATCGACCGGACATAATCGATTCGGCTATCTTGCGACCTGGCAGATTGGATCAGCTTATTTACATTCCTCTGCCGGACGAAAAGAGCCGTGTACAGATCTTAAAGGTATGTGATTTTGGCTTGTGTGATATACTGTATCAGCTTCAAGGCAAAACTGTGCTCTTTTGGCTAATTTCATCCTGGGTTTGAAGTGGAAGTAAATCGTGACCTCGTCGATTATACTAAGGCTGCGTAGCTTCCTACGTTGCTTCGCTTCACTGCTACTAAAAGGTTTTCAATGCCTTGCGCTCACCTTATCGATTCTTCGTAGTTTGTATTACTCAACCCTTCATCTTTTTGATTATAATGGCATTATAATTTGTTGCCATGGCATTAGTTTTGTTCGGCTTCTGCAAGTGAAATACATAACTGGTTGTTGTATTTTTGAAAAGGAATGTAACAGTTACATCTAAGAGTATCCGGGTAGCTAAAGTCGATCGACATACCGGGTAAGTGATTCAAACCTCGTTTAGTGGAAATTAATTTCTGTTGTCATTAATTAATAACAGTAGCGATGAATCAACGAATATGTAGATCATGAACAGTCTGAAACATTTTAACTGTATCTATCCCTTGCTGTTTTTTAGGCTGCTCTGAGGAAGACACCCATTGCAAAGGATGTAGATCTTTCGTACTTGGCCAAAATGACGCATGGCTTCAGCGGAGCTGATTTGACGGAAATTTGCCAGCGCGCTTGCAAACTAGCGATACGTGAAAACATCGAGAAGGAAATATGGCACGAAAAAGAGCGCCAGCAGCGGGCTGCGAAGGGGGAGGAATTGATGGTAAGGCATTCTCTAGCGATACACCTTCTTAATCATTTGATTCTAATGGTTTATGATACTCTATACATATATAATGTAATGAACATATGCGACATACAACGTTAGCTGTGGCCATCTGGCGCGTACCTCGGTTGCCGATTGAGGAATTATCTCCAGATATGAAAATTCTCTCTGACATATAAGCAGTGGCGAACTGGCGGTGGTAAGACCATCAGCTGGGTTGGTTCAAACTCCAAAGTTCGATCCTCAGAATAAAGTCAGAATTACTGTCTCATAACGGGGCAAAAGTGATCCACCCCTCTGAAGAAAAATGTCCACCAGTTCGCCTCTCTCTTGCGGTTAGATGTCAGCTCTCAATGGCTAGAAAGGACAACTTCGATAAAGAGATTTGAAGAAACTGGAGAACCGTCTCTGCATTGTAAAATCTGATGCGCTGTGGCAGTACAAAGTAGGCTCACTAATCACGGCCTGTGTAGGTTATCCAGGTGATAACGTGACTAAACAGTGCAGGAAAACAGCATTAAGCGGTTTTATTTTGCACAGCACAAATTATGTTTGTGTGAAATGGTAACACTTCGAGCATTACAGTTCATTAGTTTGCTAGATCGCCATTTTGATATAGAAGCTGGTTTCTGCTTGTTGTTATTTTCGTCCACACCAACTTTTGGCTCATTCTTCTACTTTAATGTCTTCACACAGACGCTATGTGAATCATCCAGTACGCATAGGGCTCATTTGTTTTTCCACAAGACTGGATTATT